CATGGTCTCAACTTTTCCAGGTGCCCCGCTTCTCCCTCCCCTTCGCACGACCACAGCACCACCTGGCTCTTTCCCCTCTCGGATGTCCCGCGCCGCTCGTGCGTCTACCTCCCCACTCTTCCTGTTGCCACTCCTCGCACGATCTACGTCTAACGTCTCGAGGACGAGCTTGCCCACCCCTGGGACGACCTCGTCCTCTTATGCCTTCAACCACCCCCATCCTCACAGGTGGCCTCGCCTTCGGGCGCACCCCCTCCTTCCTTCGCTTTGCACCCTATCCAACCCCATCCTACCTTCTTCATATTCTCGCAGTTGCTACGACCTCTTCTACTGCAGCTCCCTCGCAGCCTGCCGCTGTTGCCCCCGCCACTCCCTTATGCGGCCCAGGCGCACAGTCAGTTACGCCCCTTTCTCCAGGACCTGCGCCGACTTACTCAGCCGCGGCACAGGTCCTTGCTCCTCAATCCCCTCGCCGCCTAAACGGTGGCGTACCACTCGTCCGCTTGACGAACATTGCCTTGTATGATGGTACAGGCATACGTGTGTCTCGGTGGCTACAGTCTGCCACCCGCACCCTCCAGCTCATGGGCGCCCCACCTGACACGTGGGTGGGTCACCTCTCCACGCGCCTGCGTGGCGGTCCTTTTCACGCCTGGGAGGATTTCTACGTTTACTCCCTTCATGCGGGTCGGACTCCGACCTTCATGGATTTCCAGGCGTTCCTCGAGGATCGCTTTGGAGCCCAACATGACATGACTGACGCCTTCGAGCGTGTCGTCACTACACGATGGTCCAGCTCTATTGGCGCTGCCGGCCTCGATCGCCACATCCAGGTCTTCCAAGATGCCCGCGTCATTTGTGACGTGGTGTTCCTCCCCGAGGTTGCCCTTATCGATCGTTTCTTGGCCAGCCTTCCGCTCAAGTACCGCTCCGAGTTATGGCGGTACGAGTTCACATTGGCCCCGCAGGCTTCCAAGGCCGCTAGGGACCATCAGCGGATGCGGGCCCGTCTTCACCCTGCCTCCTCCTCCCAGCCTCAGCGCACGGGCTACGCCTCCTCCTTCTTTCACGACACTTTCCAGCGTCGTTCCCCTTTTCACGGTCGCCCCCGCCATTCCGCGCAGCAAGGCCGCCACTTCTCGCGCCGCTTCAGCACGCTCGAGTATGGTGAGAAGGACGCTGGTGCCCCGTTGTCGCCAGAGGGTGACCATAGCGACGACCTCAACCTCGGCGAGGCCGTCCACCACCACCTGGAGGACTCTTCTCTCCCTATGGCCGAGTGCCTCCAACTCATCCTCTCCGCCCTCTCCCGGGCACGTAGCCGCCCCGGTCACGCTGGCGCGTCGCCCTAGAGGTCCGTCAGCAGGACCTCCCTCAGGGCTTTGTCCCTCCTCTCGGTGTCCTTTTCGCTGAGGAGCGTGCGGTTATTTTGGGTCGGCATGGGTGTTTGCGCTGCCGCCAGGATGGTCATACCTCCTCGCGGTGCCCCTACACCACCGCCCTTGACCGCCACTACGCTGACCTTTCCCGCCTGCGTCGTGCTCAGTCCCCCCTCGGCGCCTCGCATCCCCGCAGCGCCTCCTAGTCACAGTGGAACGTACACCTGCGCCCTCCTCAGTAGTCGGCTTTCCGACATCCCCGTCGCGGTTTGCCCCTGACGCGTTGAGCAATTCGCTCAGCCCGTTGCAGCGAGCAGCTCGCTACTCGCGAGGACGTTGTGTCCTCTCTTCTGGACTTGAGCATGCTCCAGGCTAGTCAGGAGCGACTCACCCTCCATGTCGTTGCACTGCGTCGCCTTCTCACCATTCTCTCTGATCCTGATTGAACGCTCCTGATGGTTCTAGTACGACTGGGGACCTCCACGAGGGTGTACTCAGCGCTGTGGGACTTCCGTTCTCAGGGTGACTTCATTCACCCACGTGTGGTGAAAGAAACCCACTTACCCACGATAGAGTCTCCGACTCCCATCTCTGTCACCCTAGGGGATGACACGACCCAGCGCTTCGTCGATCAGACGGTCACCGACCTCCCCTTCTTCCTCACTCTCGAGCCGACTGATCGTCCCCTGGCGTCTCGTCGCCACTGCTCCTCTGCACATCTCGATGTGATGGAGACGGGGTACGACTTCATTCTCAGCACTCCGTGGTCTCGTCGGTTCCGCAGCACCAAGGCCGATTGGGCGACCAAGACTCTCGTTCTCAAAACGAAGTGTGGACAGACGTATCGCGTACCTTTCATAGGTACCACTGCGACACCACGCCCCAATCCTCCTCCCCCGGAGCCTTCCGTGCCCACACTGTCTCCTTCTCTCACTGTTACCCCGCCTCGGCAGTTCGCCCACTTCATCCGACAGGACGATGTCACCTTCTTTATAGTGAACGTGACGGATCTCTTACACTATGATTCACCCTGTCCCGACGCCGAGCTCATCCCTCTGGAGCCAGATCCCCCTTCTATCTTCATGGCTCGCATCTCTACTTTCCACCCTTCGACGTCCGTCGAGTCCACCCCGCTGTCGCGCGCTGACGCCGACGCTGAGGAACTCGCACGATATACGGCTGACCTGGAACCCGCAGTTCGTGACCTCATTCGAGAGTAACAAGACGTTTTCCCATTGTTGTTTTCGTACGTAGGCATCCCACCGATGCGCGACGCCGAGCACTCGATCCAGCTTGTGCGTGACTATCGTGTTCACCATCAGGCACCCTACAGACTCTCGATCCCCGAGGCCATCGAACTAAAGCGTCAGCTTGAGGAGCTCCTGAGACCGGGTTTCATTAAACCCAGCAACTTCCCGTAGGGAGCACCCATCCTCTTTGCTCGCAAAGCGAATGAAACTCTCCGTCTCTGCATCGATTTTCGCGGTCTTAACCGCTACACGGTTAAGAACATCTACCCCATGCCTCGTTCCGACGAGCTGTTGGACCGCCTAGCAGGCAACCGCTTCTTTACGAAGATTGATCTTCATAGCGGTTACCATCAGATCCGCGTCGCTGCAGCGGACCAGCTGAAGACAGCGTTCCGATCGCGCTTCGGTCGCTATAAATTTACGATGATGCCATTCGGCCTCACCAACGCACCCGCTACCTTCTAGAGGGCGATGAAGGACATCATCAGGGACATCCTGGAGCAGTACGTTCTCGTCTACCTCGACGATATCCTGGTCTAAGAACGTACCTTTGAGGAGCACCTCATACACCTTCGCGACGTCCTTGACTGCTTGCACAGACGTGACTTTTACGCCAAGCTGAGCAAGTGCCGCTTTGCCCAGCACAAAGTGAATTTCTTCGGACACTACGTGTCTGACCAGGGTCTCCACATGGATGACGCGAAGATCATTGTTATTGCGGAGTGACCCGTCCCCACATCCGCCAAACAGCTTTGCAACTTTTGAGGCCTTACCAGCTACTATAGTAATTTCATCTAGGGATACGCTAGGTATTCCTACATCCTTATCTCCACCCTCCTCCGGAAGAACCCTGCCTGGGCTTGGACACCCCTCCAGGAGGACACCTTCCTCGCCCTTAAGAAGGCGGTGGCATGTCTACCAGTTTTTCACCTACCCGATTTTGATCGCCCTTTTATCCTTACCACCGATGTGTCAGACTTTGTTGTAGGAGCAGTGCTTTCTCAGATCTTCTCCTCCTCTCTTGATTCCTCTCATCCTCGTATCCCTCACTTCCCACCACCTACCCCTACCATCGCTTCCTGACTGACGCCCACTCGTCCAACTACTCACGAGCCTTGTATTGACTATTCTCCTTCCATCGCCAAGGACGACACTGTCGAGTCTCGCTTAGGTGATTGTCCGATAGCCTTCTACTCTCGTCAGCTCCTGCTCGCCGAGATAAACTACATCGCTGATGAACGTGAGGTTTTCGTAGTAGTTTATGCCGCTCGGCACTGGCGTCACTACCTGCACGGGGCACCGTTCACAGTGCGCAGGGACAACTCTGTTGTCCAGGCTTTTCTGACAAAGTCGAAGCTCACTCCTCGACAGGCTCGCTGGTGACGCGACCTATCCGAGTTTAGTTTCACCACTAAGCACATCAAGGATGAGACCAATCGGGTCGCAGATGCCTTATCCCGTTGCCCTGACCACGACAAGGAGCAGATTCAACTCTTATCCATCTCGGTCACCACCGTCCACCACTCAGTGATCGACGAGTATCGCACTCAGTACCGCCACTGCCCCGACTATCGCAACATCCACGCGAACCCTCGGAGTGGCAAGACCGTCCCGAACTACTCTCTCGGGGACAATGGTCTTGTGTACTGGCACGGTTCACAGGCACCAGAGAGCCCCATATTTGCGTTCCCTCCACTAGAGAGCTACATGTCCGAGCAGTAACAGAGTTCCATGACCAAGCAGTCGCCGATCATATGGGCTTCCACAAGACGTTGGCTCGTGTGAGCCGCCTGTACGTCCGGCCGAAGCGCAATGACTTTGTGAGGGACTACATCACAGAGTGTCTCACCTGGTAGGAGGTGAACAGTGCGAACCACCTTCCTTATGGTTTGCTCCAGCCTCGTCCTATCCCTGAGGGTCGCTGGCAGTCCATCTCGATGAACTTTATCGGTCCTCTTTGTCCTCCGACCCCCCGCGATCATAATGCTATCTTGGTCGTCGTCGACCGCTTCACGAAGCGTGCACGCTTTGTTCCGTGCCGCTATGCCATCAGTGCGCATGAGGTCGCCGACATCGTGTTTGACCGAGTCGCGCGTGACCACAGAGCATCATATCTGACCGCGACGCGCGCTTTACCAGCCTATTCTGGCGACGGCTCACGAGGTTTACGACACCCAACTCTCCTTCTCCTCGTCTTACCATCCCCAGACTGACGGTCAGACCGAGGTCACGAATAGGGCTCTCAGAGATATTCTCCGAAAGATTGTTGTGACGACCAGTAGTGGGATCCCCATCTTGCCTACGCGGAGATAGCCTACAACCACACCGTCTCGCCAGCCACGGGGATGTCGCCTTACTATTGCGACCTCGGCTATCACCCTCGTGTTCCCGCTAACATCCTTCGACCGTCACAGATGCACCCCGACACGAGTTGTCCCGCGCTGGATGATTGGGTTGCACACATGACGTCGATCATGAAGACCGCACATGAGCACATAGCTGCTTCCCAGACTCGCATGGCAGCACATGCGAACCGATCGAGGATAAATCATCCATTCAAAGTCGGTGATGATGTGCTTATCAACGCTCGCACTTACAACTCGAAGCGGACACGCTTCGTGAGTTTCGTCGTCGCTTCTTTGACCCATGCCGCATCCTCCAGGCCGTCGGTTCTGATACGGCATCTAGCCCAGTCAACTTCCGTGTGAAGTTGCCCGACTACCTACGCCAGACTCTTGTGCACGATGTCTATCACGTCTCGTTACTGCGTCCCTATCGCAAACCGTCTGAGCGTTTCGTTGGACGACTATACGAGCGCCCTCCACTCATCATGGTGGACGGCCACGAGGAGTTCCTCGTTTCAGACATTATTGGTCGCCGAGTCACCGACGACAACCCTCCGCACGTCGAGTATCTCGTACATTGGAAGGGTCACCTTGATGAGGAGGCTACCTGTGAGCCCCTTGAGCACTTGCAGCATGCTCACATGTTGGTGCGTGCCTATGGCCGTGCTGGTCGTGCTGGGTCGACTGCTCCCCCTCAGCCCACTGACCCTCCTCCTTCTCCCTCAGCTGAGGAGACCGCTGAAGTTGAGCCTGCTCCATCTGAGGCAGACCTTCAGCAGCAGTCAGATGCTTCTGAGCATCCAGAGCGCATTCGTCGTCGTCCTGCCCGCTACGACGATTGACTCTGATTTAGCTTCCCACGTCTGTGACTTCTCAGTACTCCATCCACACCAGTTCTGCTACTTCWGCTCGTCGACGTTGCGGCTCTTCCTCGACGGCATTCCGGACTTCTTATCATGGACGTCATCGGCAGCTTCATGGACTTCGTCACGATCAGCTCTGCCTACTTCAGACGTCGTCACTGTCTTACCACTTTACTCTATACAGTCGGCAACAGCGGAGGTGGCTACGAAGTAGAGGGACGTGGAACCGTGTTCAAGTTCCTGCCCCGGCGTGGGTTTGGAACAGCGCAATGATGCGCTAACCGTCCAGCCGCAGCGCCCCCCCCCTGGCCACACTCCGTCGGCCCTTTCGAGAGTGCTGTGTGGCGAGGGGCTGAAAACTCTTGAAAACCCAACTCTTGAGAACGTCTGACAGCTCGGAGCTGGGGCGAGTCGTGTTGCCCTGTAACCCAGCAGGGTGGGGGAGTGAGGMGTGGAAGAGCTCGGCAGGGAGTAAGACTGTATTGGAAAGTTTTAGAAGGTTTTGTTAGGGATCCTGAGGGTTGTGAGCATTGGTAGGACCTCTGTGAGTCTGTGGCAGCTTATTGGATGAGTAKTTCCTTAATAGGGCATTCTATATTCATGATCCTTCCCATGTTTTCTGAATCACWTAGTGTTCTAAGACTGTTCTCAGCCGAAGCCGGGCATGCATGTAATGGCCCGGGTATGTCAAATGATCTGAAATGATCTGGCATGATCTGTACAATTCGATATGGGAAGGTGGGCTCGGTTCCCAGCACGTGCTGCTCCCCACGAATAGATTGGAGCATTTGTCCTTAAAAAAAAAAAAAAAAAAAAGAACGTCTGACAGGTCAGCTCTAAAAACAATTTCCCCGTTTCAAGAGTGGTGTGGCGAGGCCCATAATTTGCCATTGCAATTGTACGTCCTGGTGTGAGTATGCCCTATGCCCTGAGTATGGGCAACGGCGGCAAGGCCATACTTACTCACCACTAGGACTTTTTTACTTATTTCTGGAGGGAATTGCGGCCAGATGCATACGGTCTGATGCAATCTGGAAAGTAGTCGTGTGAGTACGCCCTAATGTTGGGGGGAGCGAAGCTGGTGATTCGTCCAAGCCTCCAAGGTTGAGGATGTCCCAGGACTTCGCTGGTCGACAGAC